AGAAGAACTATGATCCTGTCAGCAGCGTCGCGTCCGAAAGGGCAGGAACTCTATACATAAACAGATGATACATGGCATCAATACAGTTGCAACAATAAGTTAATAATCGCTATGGTACGCGTGTCATACCTGCAATATAAACATTAAATTACATCTACAGCCTGCACGCAGCTATATACTTAAATTACTACCATAGTTTTTAAAGGACATTTTTCTCTAAAAGCTTAATTTCTTTATTATATCATTTTTCTACTTACTTATTCGCTATATACTTATGCATGTAGTACATTATGAGGCTCCATATAAATCACAGACTACAATAAAACGATTGGGTGTCAATGGTTATACAGCCGCTATTATTTGCTAGGTCAAATATACTTAAAAACTATCCTGCACAATACGCAATGATGTGTTTAATAATATTGCCCAGGTTTTATTACAATACTCACAGCCATTTTTGCCGAAGACAAGAAGAACAAATTGCCGATCCCTATTATGAACCAGTACTGTAGTTCATGATGAACTCGTGTCAATACGTAATCATATTATCAGGCCAATCCTTATTCCCGATACCAGAGAAAAGCCATATTCTGACTACAGGCTTATTTATTTTATTGTGTAGGGGTGGTGGTGTACGTATACAAGAATATACTACACTGATATATTTACTTTTTATTATGCTTATAAAATATAAAATAAATAAACGTATCTTATTTTCGTGTAGGTTTATTTGTTCGTTTTAGAATTTTGCGAAGAGATATACAATAACTATTTGCCAAAAAATGTCATGTTAGTTTTTATGGCTTCATAATTGTTTACTCACGTTTAAGATACTGAAAAAATATAGTATGAGTTATTACAATGGGTAAAGAAACTAAAAGATATGGAAGTGGCAATGCAAATTTTTATCAAATGCTAATTATCAGAAACGTTAACATGTTTCAAACGAGCGAACATAATTATTTTATGCAAACGTGTATTTATGAATTTGATTAGCTGTCTGTCGATAAGTAGAAACTAATATTTTTGCTATATCAGATCTATTACTTTTCAACGTGTGTTTAAACTCTAGTTCTAGTTTCAGAGAAAGAAATATTACATTGCATGTTGTCTGGTCCTTACGGGTATTTCAGTTTAATGAAATATATTTATTGTGTATTCATCAGAGAAATGCCTAATTTATTGTGTATTCAACGTACAAACTGTTGAAGTTAGTGGTAAAGTTTATTATGTGAACGTTAGAGAATATATTGTCTTGAAGCCCAATCATAACAAACAAATTTTAACTTAAGTAAAAGTCGAAATAACAATTTGTGTTCAATCTTATCAAACGGGTTAATCTGATCCAAACATCCCATTTTGTATCATAATTCTTAATAAAATTCAGGAACAATGGAGCTTCAATAATATCACTTCCTAGAAAGTTACCAGTTTGACCATTAGAATCAACTGAATCAAACATATTTACCAATATCACAGGCCTGCGATGGTTTTACTGTCTCGAAATTTTTACATGTTCTGCAATAATTCCTGTACGCTGAATCCGAAAATGATATCCATTTTTCTCCATCACGTACAGATTTTTCACAAAACGTCATGTGTACTTTTACATAAGTGAATCATTTTCATTGAAATCAGGTCAAATTTTGTTATGCTTAAAATGTTGACAACCACTGGCTATAGATTTCTCTAGATCAATCGCGACGTGAGAGTCTTGTCGATCGTTTTAAAACCCAAGCATAACAAACATAATAATAGAAAAATTTTCATTGTGGCAAAAGAAATAATAATTTGATATAAGTAAGATTTACGTGATAAAAATAATAATAATATTTTCGAAATCTGCGTAGCTGAATTAGGGAAATTCCGTTATTAAAGCCAAAACAACCTTTATGAAGTTTAAATTCGCAGGCCTGTGTATTCAGTAGTTAAAATTTAACAAACGTAGCAGACAACTATTATAAGAACAATGCCAATTTCTCTGTTTAGAAATGGGTGTAATAACATCTTATTTCATGTTGTGATGTAAGTCGCACACAAACAAAATTGTCCATAGAAAAAAATGGGGAAAAAAAAGAGTGACAAAATTCAACATTAAAACCGTTAATTCCAGAAATTTCATTTTCAGCTAATAAAGTTACAACTAAACCAACATCAACAACACACAACTTAGTTGGACATGTATTTATCTTACTTAGACCTATTCAAGTCGAGTTATAAGCATCAAAACAAAATCTACCTTTAACACAATATACCAACTACGTTTTTCAGTTCGGAAAAAAATAGTGGAATGCTTTCTCTTTACAAAACATTTAGCATATGGACGTAAAATATCTTCCTTAATTTTCCCCAATTCAGACTTTGTACCCTCGGTGGCTCAGTGATAAGCTTTGAAAGCTCATACTAAAATTCAGGATTCGATTCGTAAACATCTAAGGAATATAGGAAAACTCCTTAAAGAAGGTGTTTGGGTGCCTCACGAACTCTCCGA